CGCGGCGCAGGGCCCCTTCCTCCGGCAAGAAACTCTTCGGGCTCCATTGCGACAGATGGGTTGGTCCAGGTTCTGTCGCTTGCCTTCAGTGCACCGCGGCGTGAATTAGGACGAGGAGCAATCTCTGGACATCTATCCGCGGGCAGGTGCGCCCAGCCACGCAGTCTACGTCTCAAGGAGCAGATATCACACAGTCCCCAGCTGATCGCTCGGTCCTTCCCAAGGGTTTCGACGAAGGGATCGCGGGCAGTGCCGTGGGCGCGTCTGAATAAGTCCCCCTCCCCCAGAAGCCCAATCGGCGCCTCTATCAGATGCACGGGGAGGTCTTTAGTCGGGTCCCGAAGCTGCTGGCGGTTCTGTTGGAGCCCTAATCGAGACCCTGAAGCACCCTGTTCGGCCTCCTCATCACCAGCCCCAGGGCAAGGCCCCATGGAGCCCCAAGCAGAAGCCCGACCCAGAGAGGAATGAGACGTCTCGGAGCCCACCCGGAGAGTGCCACCAAGGACCTCTCCACCATCATATTCCTCCGTGGCCGCTTCTAGCGCGGCCCCCAGTCTCGAGGGCGTCCCATCCAGCAGGCAGCCCTGCGACCGCTGGCCCAGGTCCGGGGGCGGAGCCAGCGGCCGAGCCGACGCTACCTCGCGTCTCAGATCCAGCGCGAGAGGGGCCCATCGTCGGCGCAGTTTCGCAGTGCTGCTCTACCCACTCCAGTGGAGCTTCGACCTCATGCCTCATGCCCCCGACCGAGCTCGACAGCACGTCGAGGAGCGGGACTGCTGGGCGCAGCCCAGTGGCTCTGACGAGATGACAGTAGATTTCCAGGCGGTCTCTGACGAGTAGCTGCTGAGTGCCTACTGCGAGTCCTTCGAGACCTGGTCCCAGGATCAGGGCTGGAGTTGCACCGCCAACGAGAACGCCAACGGCGCGGGGGACCTCGCGATTGCCAACTCGGAGGACCGCGTCGGCAGCTGGAACTTTGTCCTCGAAGGGTGGCGAGGCCAAGCTGCGCAACCGGAATCCCGAGTAGCGCGAGCAGTTCAGGGCCCCGGACAGAGCAGAGCGGGCCGCGTTGAATCGACCTGGTGTTCAACGCGTGCTGCCTCTGCCCGGGCCCCAGCGCGCGGCGTCGAGGACGGTGCGCCGCTGGGCGGGCCTGGAGGGCATCTTCAGTGGCAAGAAGGCCAAGAGTCGCTGGCGCGCGCATGGGTTTCGTGACCTGGACACGGAGAAGCTGATCACCTATTCCCCGACTCCTCGGCCGGACCCCACGCTGATATTTGCCATGGTCTTGGTGTCCTGTGGCATGGGGCATGCCATAGCGGACTGCGAGAACGTCTCCAGTCAATCTCGACCGCTGAAGCGATCGGGCGGCCCGATCTACGGGGCCGTTGGCGACGGCATTGCAAGAGCTCTTGTTCCAGAGGGATTCCTGATCGAGCTCAAGGCGGCCGCGCGCTGGCTAGACGACGCGCCGCGGGAGCGGCACGCGTCTCCTACGCGCCCCCTGTCCGACCCGGCCTTCCACGAGTTGTTGTCAGAGCCCTGCTACTGGACAGAGCGCGAGAAGTTGCAGCTGATGGCCCAGCTGCTGATCGAGGCCGACGACCTGTGACTCGGCTCTCTCGGCAGCCACGCGCAGCGGTGACACGGGAGTCTCCGGGGCCGCTTCGCTTTCGGCAAGTCGCGCGGGGGCGAGGCCGAGTTCGCAGGCAGGCAAGCGCGCGAGGAGCGTCATCGAATGTGGATTGACCAGGAGAAGCACGTTCTCGAGGAGCTCAGAAAGGCACCTCTCGATCGCGGTCGCAGGTCTCACAGACAGAGCCCTTTGTCGTTGGCCGGGTTCACGCTGCTTCACTCCGTCCGGCGCGCACCGACTGACTTGGGTCGCCGAGGAGTCCAGGCCAGAGATCTCGGGGGCGACGCCCATCCTGACGAGCAGCCGGAACCATGCGACGATCAAGGACTTCCTACTACATAACAAGGCGGTGCAGCTCACGCGGGACACGGCGGCCCAGTGTCTCACGATCTGGAAGCGCGACCTGAGTCAGGAGGCGACGATGATGGCCCAGCGACGCTGCTGGCATGGGATTCGAGGGCCTTGCACAAAATTCTTATCTCGCTGGGATTGCAGATCCTCAGCTCGCCACTAGCCCCACGCGCGTCTCCGCGCTCTCCTGGAGATCTTCCAGGACGAAACGCGCTGCCACTATTTCTTTCGCAGGCGAGGCTCGCACTCTGTGTCAGGCAGCGCCAGAGACCGAGTGCATTCACTTGTCGATGCTACGCAGTGCCCATTTTGGCGAGGAGCCTTCTTCCCACTCGCGTCGTGGCGCGGGGCCTTCCGTCCCAGTGCTGAGGAGCTCGTGGCATCCAGAACCCTTTCCCTGCCGCGCATGCTCTAGAGGCAAAACCCACGCTTGATGCGCATTCTCAGAAGTGTACTGGACGCAAGGAGGATCGGCGTATATCCGTCGATGTAGCTAGTGTCAGGGATCTTTCATCTGCTCGCAGCTCGCGCACCAGGTGGTTGCCACATCCTGCGAATCCCAGACATCGTTACTAAAGTTGATGCGGCAAAGGGTGCAGAGGATCTTGCTCATGCGCTCAGGACGTTATTTTTGTATTTGAACGATGCCGAGGAGGAGCGCGATGCCCCAGCCGCCGCAGGAACCAAGCAGCACCGCAACAAGGAAGCTAGCCGGCGCTATTTCGCGGCCAGGGACTTCTAGACAGACTGATCGACAATAATACAAGGGAGTGGTTGGCACGTGTTCCTGCACCTTCTCTGTTTGTCTGCCTTGCATGTGTTTGCATGCTTGTCTACGCGCCTTGCTCGACCATTGTTGATTTGGCTCAAGGCCTTTTCTGATCAACAGTGAAAATCAGTTCGCGCAGAGCGTCGCGATTGTCCGCCCCACCCCCGCGCGAAAAAACAATATCACGCGCCACTGGTCCGTCGTGTCAGCGAAGTCACATTTGCCGCATCATTGTCTGGGGCGGCGGGAACGAATGTGAATCCGCCGTCATGCTGCGCCCCCCAGCCACCCCAGGTGGATCCCTGAGTGAGATGCGTTGGATCCGCCATGCTCCAGATTGCGGAATCGGCGCTGGGTTAATTCAGACGCCATGGAAGCAGAGGCGTCAAATTTGACCCTCAGCCCGATATGCGTCGCATGCCGAGCAAAATATGCGACGCAACCTCTCGGCGCCACGGGGCCGAAAACGCAGTCTACAAAAAGCTCGCATCTATAGTCCACGCAAGTTAAAACATCTTTGGTTATAGCGAGCACATTCTGCGTGCAGATATCACGAACGCGCGCGCCATATATAGCAGTTGTCCTTCGCGCGCCCACGGCGGCTGCGTCGCGCGGCAGCGCGCGCCGGGGTAGACACATTGCATCGGGTTTGCGACGCTGCGCCACGGGCCGCGTCATCCAGCTGCGCCGGTCAAGGCCTGCGCGCCAGGCCGCGCAAGGGTCTGCAGAGCCCTTGGCTGCAAGCATGACCCTCCCAACGGAGCGTCGGCTGGCGCCGCCGGGACGGCCGGGGCTCCGCCGCTGGCCGGCGACCCGACGGGGGCGACGGCGGCGGCGGCCGCGGCGGCGCCCAGAACCCTGCGGGGCAGGGGGGGGCAGAGGGCGAAGTCCGGGGCCGCCTACAAAAACGCGCACAAAAAGCATTCAAACAGCGTCTGCAAAAACTCTCCGGCGTCTCCAATTCTTCGGCGCAGATGCCAGGGGGCCCCAAGCGAGCGCGACTGCAACGCATTCTCATGGCCAGAATCGCGTTCACAAAAATTTGCGGCGCCCGCAAAAACCCTTCGGGCGCCTACATGCATTTTTCTGATCCGACGAGTCGGCGCGCATTTTGGAAGCTCTTTGGGCCCGCCGCCGTTGGTTTTTTACTTGCCGGCGGCCGTCGGCGCCGCGCCCCCCCCCCGGCCCCCCCGCCCGCGCGGCGACGGCGCGCGACTGCGCCCGCGCGACGGGCGCGCGGTTCTTCGTTCGACGGGGCGCGCCGCACCAGTTTGTCCTCTGCTGGGGCCGCAGGTAGAGACGGGCGCGCGGATTCTGTTCTCGCGGCGCCCCCCTCGCGTCGCGCACCCCCTCCGTCGATCCGGGCTGCCACCCCTGCCCGCCGCGAGCTCTCTTGCATCTCGCAGACGCGCGGGGCTTAGACTGAGGGGCGGGAGGCCTCTGGCCGGTGCGCGCTAGGACACCGCCGCGCCACCGAACTCCCCGCGTCTCTGTTCGGCGGTCGCAGCTAGCGCTTTGCAACGCGACTTGCGGCTCCAATGCGCGCCGAAGAAGTTGTTCGGGATCTGGCAGCGGCAATGCGTTGTAGGACGAAGTGGCCGTGATATTTGCACGCGGCCTGAGTAGACCGGCCGCAGCCTCATTGCGAGGAGTTTGTCGCATGAGCAAGCCAAACACATGCAAGAAAAGATCGGACGTCCCAGCTTCGATGGCACTGAAGCTGGATATTTGAAGACATCCGCCCAAGACCAGATATTGACAACAACCAGTGGAGTGGCAGCGTCAGAGGCATGGTTCGCATGCAGGCGTTGGCGGCTGAATGGGTGTTTTGAACCCGAAACGAGAATGATGTGGCATTGCGTGTGGCTCGTGAAATTCGGGCCCCCACGTCCTCGGCGGCCATTCCCCTGCAACTCCGAGCGGCGCGCCGACAAGTTCACTTGCGTGCCAGGGCGTGACGAGGCCCGAAGAGGACTCTGGACGCGTTAAATTCGCGTTCCCGTCCCAGCGTACGCAATGCAGTAGTCACTTGGCCCGCGCAAGGCGGTAGTCATTTGTACGCGTTCCCGCCCCAGCATTGCTCCAAAAGGCGGCGACGGGATGAAGGAGGAGGGGCGGCGCGGAGGCGGCCCAGGGGGGAGGCAAGGGGAAATGCCATGCACGTATGTAAAGCAATATGCCTTCATAGCGTCTGCCACACGCCTGCGCGACAGCACTCAGAGGCGCGGCCCTCTCCGCCCCGAGGCCGCCGCCAAGCAGCAGCCCGCCGCGGCAGCCGGCAGGGGCCGTGGCGCGGAAGCCGCCCGCCCCGGCGACGCGCTCGCCTCCGCCGCCAGCGAGGCCCCGCAGGATGCGAAGGCCGCCGGCGCAGCGCCGGTGAGGAAGCCCACCTCGACAGGCGGCGACGCGCCCGCCGCCCCGGGCGTGGGCGCTGCCGCGCCCGGTGCGGGGGCCGCTGGCGCAGTGCCTGCGGCCGCCGGCGGGCCGGCGGGAGCCGCCGAGGCGGGCGGCGAGATCTGCCGCGTGGGTGCGTTGGGCCAGCGGTGCGGGGGGGAGGCCGCGGAGGAGGAAAAGGAGGACGAAGAAAAGGAGGTGGAGGTGGAGGAGGAAGGGTGGATGGGGGAGGTGGAGGAAGTGGTAGCGGAGGAGGAGGTGGAGGTGGAGGGGGTGGAGAAGGAGGTGGAGGAGAAAGTGAGGTGCATGGTGGAGGAGGTGGACGAGGCGACGGATGAGGAGGAAAAGGGGAGGGTGGAGGTGGAGGTGGAGGAGGAGGCGGCAAAGGAGGTGGAGGAGGAAGATGTGGAGGTGAAGGGTGGAGGAGGTGGAGGAGGCGGAGGAGGAGGTGGAAGAGGTGGAGGTGGAAGTGGAAGTGGAGGAGGAGGAGGAGGAGGAGGAGGAGGAGGAGGAGGAGGCAGAGGAGGAGGTGGAGCTGGAGGAGGTGGAGATGGAGGAGGTGGAAGAGGAGGCAGAGAAGGAGTCGGAGGAGGAGGAGGAGGAGGAGAAAATGGGGACGTGGAGGTGGAGGCGGAGGCGGAGGTGGAGGTAGAGGTGGAGGTGGGGGCGGAAGAGGAAGAGGAGGAGGAGGAGGAGGAGGAGGAGGAAGAGGAGGAGGGAGGTTTGTTAGGACAACAGTAGTTGGCCTTCGGGGGGAATGCCGGGAATCCGAGGAGGGGAGCGAGTTGATCGAGGAACAAAAATTGGCATCAACACAACATGTTGGAGGTCCTCGCGGATTTCTTTGATCGGCGTTGGACCCCCCTCCCTGGCGCGTGGAGCGTGGTGCGCGCCAGAGGCGACGCCGGAGGCCCCGCCAGGGGGCTCCGGCGCCGATCCGAGAAATCCGCGCTTGTCCCCCGACGGTTGAGACAACCGTAGTTGGCTTTCGGGGGCCCCCTTCGTCGCCACGGCTGGACCCAGCTTGGAAAATTAGAGCGTTTGTTTGGATCCTGGGAGGGGTCCGAGGATCAATGTTGATTTGCCGTTGTCTCAACTTGCCATACTCCGAGAGGAGCTCAGCATTGTCTAGCCGATCTCCAACCCGACGTGGCCATGGTACCTCAGCCCCACCAGCCATGCCCCCGCGGGTGGGCGTATAGGTTCCGCGGAACCCTCGGGGGACCCCAAAAGGTGCGGTGATCACATCGTTACCTATATGAGTCATTGGGGATTCAGGGGGACCGCACAGTTTGGGGAGCTTGGGTCGTTCTCCGAGGACGTCTCGGGCGATGGGAGCTTCCAGGGCTCCAAAACCATGCTGAGACGGACCGCGCGGTGAGGTCTGTCGGGATTTCGAAATCACGGCTCAGTTTGTCACCGCACGGCCCTCAATCCCCAAGGGAACAGCATAGATCCCAACCTACAGAGGAAAAGTCGGCCACTGGGGCCAAGACCATGGCAGTGTGGATGGGGATCGCTCAGACGATGTTCCAGAGCAAGAACGAGTTTGAACAGAAATGTTCGAAGGTCCGCGCGGATTTCTTTGGTCGGCGTTGAGGCCCGCCCATTGGCGGAGTCTCCGGCACTTTCTGGCCCTGGCACGCTTCGCCCGCCAGGGGCGGGGGGGGGGGGCTTGCTAGTTGGCAGACACCGTCCTGTTCGATGCCCCATTTCATCCCAATCCTCCTCCTCCTCCTCCTCCTCCTCCTCCTCCTCTTCCTCCTCTTCCTCCTCTTCCTCCTCCGTATCCATTTTGGCTCAAGATGTTTTCGCCCCGTGGCAGGGCACGGAGACTGGGTCCAGGGCCAGCGCAGGACCCATTCCCACGCCTTCCTCGCGCCCGCGAGGTCGAACTTCATAACACTCGCCATTGCATTCGCCTGCAACTGGTCTTCGTATCACGCGTTCTCTGTTCCTTAGGCTCGCGCTTGCCTCACCCCCCGTACGTCGACATGGTCATTCTCCAGGGCTCGGCAGCAAGCGACGCTGAAGGTAAAGGTGTTGATGGAATAGCTTATCCGTGGGTTGCTGGCGCCGCCAAACTTCTCTCAGTTTGATTCATTTTCGCACGAAGACGGAAGGAACTTCAAGACCTACTCAAGAACAATTGGACAAGCCGCCAAGCTTCACACTTTTCTGGCGCCCGCCAAGCTTATCGACGGAAGAAACTTTCAAGATCTACTGCAAGAACAACTGGACAAAGCCGCCGCCGCCGCCGCCGCCATCGATATCACCGCCAAGCAAGTCACTGCCCAAGCTCAAGCTCACTTCATCACAGCCACCATCAAGACCCCAGCTGAGCTTTGCGGGCGCAAGAAGAGCTGCCAACAAGGCGTCGCCTTCATCAAGACGCGAGCCGAATGAGCAGAAGCCCCCAATAAACTACAAGACAGCAGTGCCTCCATCAGGTGCCCCATCGCCGTTGCAGAAGCATTCCGCCCCTCCATCGACATCAACGCACTGGGCAATTCGGATCGAGCACCACATGCTGTTCTATTATGGTGCAGAGCTGGGGCCCATTTTGACGCAGGCGCGCTCAAATATGCCCTCACTGATGGGTTCCAAGCAGCGGGCGTCGACATCAACGGGATTTGCCTCAATGGTCCTGGCCCTAGAAAAAGAAGGTCACTTACGATCAGTGGCGGTGACGTCCTTGTTCTTTCTCGCGCTGCTGGTCTGCGCAAAGCTCTCCGGGATTGAAAAGATTGGCGCATATTCTCCGTCCAATCACGCCGTGGCCAACACGCCGCTCTTCGTCTCTGCGGACAAGTCTCGCGAATGATTCGGCAGAATATTCAGCCCAAGAAGTTCAGCAAGCTCACCTCCGCAAAGCACCCCCAGATCGAGGTCAGGATCCACTGCGCGCACGGGCACCCCTCGGTCAACAGGTCGCCCATCGCGCGCGCGCCGCCGCTGGGTCCACTCCAGGCGCAGCTATGAAAACTCGTTGGCACGATGCTGCCGCTCCTTCTGGCATCCCCGCTGAGAACATGAATCCCTCGGCACCGGGTTCGCTGCTGCTTTCGCGGACCCAACGGCTGCCGCGCAGCGGCTGCAGCACCCGATGGTCTCCTCTGTTCATGCAGCAGCAGACCGACGGCCTCAACATTGTCTCGCGGTGCACCCAGGCGCCACTGGGTCGCTCACATGCCCGGCGCCCGCCCAAACGCAACATCATCCTGTCGTGCACGATGCAGCGCACGTTGATCGCGCTGCAGGAGACCCGCGGCAATTTCGCCGATCTGCAGGCCCCCGCCGTGTCCACCGATCACCGCTGCATATGTTCCCACTTCGCCTGCGAGGGGAACGCGGAGATCGCGGGTAGCATCGGCTTCTTGGTACCCCACGGCAAGCAGGAACTCCGCCTCCGCGAACAAGCATGCGCTCTTCGCGATTCCGCCCCATGTCAGCTGGACGAATCGCCGAGCCGCGGACACTGGACAGCTCGCGCACCGCGACCACCACTTTCAACGCGCACAACCACGAGCGCACAGTCGAGGGACAGAAGTTCAAGCACGCCTGGGACATCGCCCGCGCTCTCGTCGCTGCTAGCGCAGACACGCATAACCTCATCGTCATCGGCGGCTTCAACATATCCGAGCTGCCGCCAAGCGCGCCCCGCCGACGCCCCCACGACGGGCCGCCACCAGCACCAGCCCTCGCCTTGGAAGCGGATATTTGCATCGCTGGTGGACGTTGCCACTCGCCCTGCCGCCTACCGCTGTTCGACCAACAAGACAGAAGCCATTATCGACCGATGCTTCATCTGCACTGCCGCCGCGCAACGCCCCAAAACGGACAGCGGAACTCCCGCCCTTCATCTTCGATTCCAATCGCTATAAATCATGAGGTCTGGGCGCCGCCGCGAAGCAGTGTCGGGACCTGCTTGTTTTTCGACCCTGACCCTGCGGATCTGCGTCACCACCGAATTTCAGAAATGTGGCCAATCCCTTGTGTTTTTGGACCCTGAACCCTACGGATCTGCGCGAGGGGTGCCGCCGAATGTCAGAAATGAAACAAGTCCCATGTGTTTTTGGACCCTGGTCCTGCCGATCTGCGCGAGGGGTGTCGTTGTTTCCCAACCCTCCTTGGTTGGGTATTCGTTTTGAATACAGCAGTGTGGTCTCCACTCCTTCCTTCCTCCTCCTCCTCCCTCCCTGCCTCTTCCTGTCTTGCCTGCCGGGGGCTGCGATCTGTGAAACTGTCGCCATGTTCGATGCCTGCTGGGGGGCCCAGCACAGTGAGGGCGACGCGCAGATTCAAATTAGACCTCGCCATCCCTGGGGGGCTGCGATCTGTGAAACTGTCGCCATTTTCGAGGCCTGCTGGGGGGCCCAGCACAGTGAGGGCGACGCGCAGATTCAAACTAGACCTCGCCATCCCTGGGGGGGCTGCGATTTGTGAAAACGTCGCAATTTTCGAGGCCTGCTGGGGGGCTCAGCACAGCGAGGACGTCGCGCAGATTCAAATTAGACCTCGCTATCCCTGGGGGGCTGCGATCTGTGAAACTGTCGCCATGTTCGAGGCCTGCTGGGGGGCTCAGCACAGTGAGGGCGACGCGCAGATTCAAATTAGACCTCGCCATCCCTGGGGGGCTGCGATCTGTGAAACTGTCGCCATTTTCGAGGCCTGCTGGGGGGCCCAGCACAGTGAGGGCGACGCGCAGATTCAAATTAGACCTCGCCATCTCCAGGAAGGGCTGCGATCTGTGAAACTGTCGCCATTTTCGAGGCCTGCTGGGGGGCTCAGCACTGTGAGGGCGACGCGCGGATTCAAATGAGACCTCGCCATCCCTGGGGGGGGCTGCGATCTGTGAAACTGTCGCCACGTTCGAGGCCTGCTGGGGGGCCCTGCTCAGTTACGCCATGGGCATATTCAAACGAGACCTCGCCATCCCTGGGGGGGCTGCGATCTGCGAAGCTGTCGCCATTTTCGAGGCCTGCTGGGGGGCCCAGCACAGTGCCGCCACGGGCAGATTCAAATGAGACCTCGCCATCCCTGGGGGGGTGCGATCTGTGAAACTG